AAAAAAAAAAAAAAAAAAAAAAAGAAAAAGAAAAAGTAACAGCTGTAAAAGGGCCCCTTAGTTTTCCCCCTTTCCTGTCGATCCCAGGTGGGCAGCGTTCACCTAGTGCATAGTTGAAAAATCCCAGCCAGTGAGATGGAGCAGTGATTTTGCTTTGAGATCTAACAGCGTTTCCTTGTGCTGCCCAGCAGATGGCAAGAGTGTGTTGGTGGTTCTTCTTCTCCAAAGTCATCGAGCTGCTTGATACGGTAAGGAGGGCTCGGCTCCATGGTGGGACTGGTGCTGTAAATAAATCACTTCCTTGTCAGAAAGAGGCAGGGAGCCAAAAGCTAATGTCCTCGGCTGATCCTTTATTGATTTGGTTGATGCTTTTCAGTAAATGCTGTTTTCATGTGTTCTGCTCTGCCCGTTTGTGGGAATAAGGCTGATACTGTTAAAGAAGAGGGCTCAGCTTCATCGTGCTGATTTTTGCCATGAAATACAGTGACCTGACATGAATTCATCTGCCAAAATCATCCTTTTTACTAATGCAGATTCCAGAAGAGCTTGGGTGTTCAACATAACGCTTTTTCTGTGGATCATTGTCTGGTACCAATAAACTTATAACCTGTGTCCTGAAAAGGACCAGACCCAAGCAACTGCAAATTATATGGAAGCTCAGTCTGACACTCAAATGTGACCTCTTTGCACCCTGGGACCTGAATACAAAGTTTAAAATAGTTGGGGCTCCATGGAAGATATTCTACCCTTCAGTTCTTCCCTATTGCAGATAATATATAATCTATTGCATGTGTTGAATTTCACCATTTTTCATCCACAGCAGAGGAAATGGGTTCGGGAGGTTCAGAATGATGTTCTTACCACTTATAGTGTAAAATCTTTTGTCTAAACACATCCACTCAAGATTTTCCTCTGTCTGGCTTCTTTTAGGTTTTCTTTATTCTGCGCAAGAAACAAGAACAGGTGACTTTTCTGCATGTGTACCATCACGCCACGATGCTGTTCAACTGGTGGTCAGGGGTCAAATATGTGCCTGGAGGACAAGGTATGCTTCCGTAGACACCTCGTGTTTCAGGTTTTCTTGTGCTGTGGAGATAGCATGATCAGTGCAGATGGGCTGACTGGCAGGTAGAAAGCTCACCTACTTCCAAAGGTGTGAAAAATATGTGCGTTTCAGTTGATACCATCTGCTCAGCTCTTTGGGCTGTTTAGACTGCTATATTCACTGCCTCATCCAGAACAAGAATGTGCCAGTCTTTCCTTGTCCAAACAGAATCAATAACAACCTATACGAGGTCTACTTCAGCTGGAGTTGGTGCAGCAGCCCAGGTTCTAGCTCTCCTGCTCTGGATGGGTCCAGCCTAGTCCTCATTCCCTTTCTGGTCTGTATGCAGGCTGCTTCTCGTTTTCAGTCCACCAAAGAGAAGCACCTGTACCTGACACTGAGTTTAGACCACTATAGGTAGGCCCTATGCAAGATTCTGGGGTATTTCTTTTTTGGGAGGCCATTTTGGCTGCATGGTCTTGATATCAAAATGGTATGAAATGCTTAGGTCAGAAGATCGAGAATTCTGTCCTCTGCTTTTGAAGCTCTTCTCTGTCTCTGAGCACTAAATATGGGATGGATATATGGTGAAAGGAGAAGGGAGAAGGGAGAATATGACATGCTTCCTAGGCAGAGTATGGACTGAAGGTTCATGCACAGGTGTGGTATGATGTATTTTTGAAAGCAGCATCATAGCGGCTGTGAGCTCATCGCAGGGTAAGCCTTGAATGATTTGTGTGTCTTTTTCATCCTGACTTTACTCCTTCAGCCTTCTTTATTGGGATGCTAAACTCCTTTGTACACATCTTCATGTATGGCTATTACGCTCTGGCCAGCCTGGGACCACAGATGCACCGTTACTTATGGTGGAAGCGTTACCTGACCATCATGCAGCTGGTAATTAATTTCATCTCTGCACTTCTGTGTCTCGTGTGATGGCCCCTGTCCCCTGTCTCAAGTCTTTCTGTTTGCTGCCCATGGAAATCACCGTGCCCTCAGGTGTCTTCATGTGCCACTGGGAGATGTGAACTGATTGGTGACCTGCTCTGAATGGTACTCAAAAAACTAGCAAGTTTTTTGAGTGACCATATCAACTAATAAGCCCCCACCTTTGTAATGGGAAGGAGAGAGAAATATTATAAATCAGACTTCCCCCTTTTCTGTTGTATGTGGCAGCCTTTTCCCCTCTGGAGTTCTGAAAACAGCTTGATTTTGAGAGGTGTGGGGCAGTAACACAGGAAAACTTTGGATTCTCAGGAGGGCAGGAGATTGGGCAGCCTTCATTCTGTTTCTTCAAAAAGGAAGAGCATGTCCAACTGTAGGCAGAGGCAAGTTAAAGAAAAATATGAGGTTTACTCTTTCTGTAGAGAATCCCTCTGGATTTTTTTTCCCTCATCTCTGAAGGGGTGACAAATCCTGACAACCCTATGTTTTTTCAAAGATAAAGCATAAAGTCAGTGTTCAGACAAGGACAATGACTATAGTTAAGCGTGTGGGAGAGTTAATTCCACACAAAGAGAGGTTTTGCAAACAGAAAGTACACAGTTACCAGAGAAGAGGAAGAAGAGCTAGAGTATATGTAAAATAGCAGTGTGCTGAAGGCAGGTCCAGAATCCTTACTTATCCTTAATGGCAAAAGCAGAACAAGAAAGCATTGCATGAAAAGAAAAGGTATTTGCAATGCAAAATATAGCACAGGAAATCAGTTTTTATTTAACATGCTTTCAGTAGGTGGAATTCGTTGCTTCAGGGTATTGAGACAGGTGAGTTAGTAAAAAGAAAAAAAAAAAGGATTAATGTTTAAATCAATAAAAGTAGCATCTGTAGTTCTTCTCTGTAAGATCAAATGCAAATCAAAATCATTATGGGTATAATAATCTGATTATTATTAGGGATGAGAAGGAGTGTCCCACATTTAGTTTCCATATTCCAAGACATCAGCAACTGGCCCAAGGTGGAGAAGTGGCACAAGGGCAGTGGTCTTCTCCTAGGTGGGAGAGGCTGGATTCCAGACCTTCTCCTTGCAGCATTGGGCAAGCCTCAATGTTTGGTGGACGTGTGACAGCCTTTCATGTTGGGAAAACACTGTTGGGCTTGAAAGACAAGTTTTTTAGGGATGTCAAGAGAGGCAAGCAGGTAGTACTCTGGGTTGAGGACACCTCTAGCATATTGTGGTACTCTTTGTGATGGGCCAAGTGGTCAGTTGGGATATGTCTCATGTAGGATCCCTAATCTAGCTCCTTCTTTTTTCCCCCTCTTCCAGTGCCAGTTTGTAGCCATTGCTGCTCATTCTTCCTACAACCTCTTCACAGAATGCCCGTTCCCCGATGGCTTCAACGTTGCAGTCTTCCTCTACATTCTCAGCCTCATTGCTCTCTTCCTGCACTTCTACTATCGGACCTACACTAGGGGGAAGCAGGAGAAGCTAACTTAAAGGAAATCAAAGAGGAGAGTGAGCACAGTCTGATGAACTGCACATTCGCTGCTGCTTCTAACATGGTTGCATGAGGAAAACGTATTTGGGGAGTGTGTGCCGGGCTCTTGTGTGCAGCCTCAAGGTTGCCTTCATATATCTTGAGTTAGGAAGAAAAAAGGAATGGCATAAACTCAAGTACTAAGGCATTGAGGAGCACACTTCGTTGAAGCTGATGCAGAACCAGGCAAAGGAGTCATCGACGTAGCAGCCTTTGTGAAATTAGCACCAGAAGATCTCCTTCTTTCCTTCTGTCTGTTAGCTCAGTTTGCAACATCTAGCACCCAACCGTGACTCCTTGCCTCATTTCTTAGGCTATAGAGGGTTTTTTTTGCATTATAAGAGTATCTCAGCTAGATCAGGCAGGGGTCAGGTGCCTTCAGCCTGAAAGCACTGTCCAGGTAACAATAGCAGCCAGGAACTCACTGGAACTGCAGGATCCTGGACGAGGGGACAGAGTGTATCCTCAGCAAGTTTGCTGATGATACCAAACTGGGAGGGGTGGCTGACACCCCGGAGGGCTGTGCTGCCATCCAGCGAGACTTGGACAGGCTGGAGGGCTGGGCAAGGAAGAACCTCATGAGGTTCAACAGGGAAAAGTGTAGGGTCCTGCACCTGGGGAAGAAAAATGTCAGGTACCAGTACAGGTTAGGGGTGGACCTGCTAGAGGCAACTACTGAAGAGAAAGATCTAGGGGTCCTGGTGGACAGTAAAATGACAATGAGTAAACAGTGTGCTCTTGCGGCCAGGAAGGCCAATGGTATCTTGGGTTGTATAGGGAAGAGTGTAGCCAGCAGGTCAAGGGAAGTCATTCTCCCCCTCTACTCTGCACTGGTGAGGCCACAACTGGAGTACTGTGTCCAGTTCTGGGCTCCCCAGTTCAAGAGGGACAGGGAACTACTAGAAAGAGTCCAGCGTAGGGCTACAAAGATGATTCAAGGATTGGAGCATCTCCCTTATGAGGAGAGACTGAGAGAGCTGGGACTCTTTAGTCTGGAGAAGAGAAGGCTGAGGGGAGACCTTATCAACGCCTACAAGTATCTCAAGGGAGGGTTGAAGGAGGAGGGAGCCAGACTCTTTTCAGTGGTTCCCAGTGAGAGGACGAGGGGCAACGGGCACAAGTTGGAACATAAGAGGTTCCACTCAAATATGAGGAGAAACTTCTTCACGGTGAGGGTGACAGAGCCCTGGAACAGGCTGCCCAGGGAGGTTGTGGAGTCCCCTTCTTTGGAGATTTTCAAAACCCGGCTGGATGCTCCTGAGTGACATGCTCTGACAAGCTCTAGGCAATCCTGCTTCAGCAGGGGAGTTGGACTAGATGATCTCTATGGTCCCTTCCAACTCTAGAAATTCAGTGAAATTCAGTGAAAATTCAGATCCACTCATCTGTACACTGCATTCCAGCCTTTCCTATTAAGAAAGCTCTCACTAGGACTGGGGGGAATTACAGATATATGGCCCCGATGGTTTAACTTTATATTAGCATAAACGGGAAGGAAATTGGACATTATGTCCAACCGGACAGATGCCTCTGTTCCTTCGCTGTTCTGAAACGAAAGAAGGCATTATTAGCACTTTCATCCTAAATAAGAAACTAACGCAGTAAGAATCATCATGTACCATTTTCTGGAATGCTTATTTGCCTTTTGTTGCACTCATAACAATAGAGAACTTTTAACGCATGAGAACTACTTGGCATTGTTCCTTATAGATGCTGTATTTTTTAATAAAAAGCATAGATTGAGGTTCCCCATTAATAACTTTTTTCCTCTGATTTCTTGTTATTGTCATTATTATAATAATTTTTAAATTTTGTTTCTCATGAAAGATGAGAAGTCTTACATCACTATAAGCAACCATCTCTACTACCAATTTGTACGAGTATTAATACAAACTACATAAAGCCAATTCATTGGTTAGTGCAAAGCTGCACAGCTCCATTGACTTCATCATGTCACCCATTGGCTCCTTTTTTGCTCCTAAATGGACTGCAACTAGAATTTAGCACTTATATTCATCTGCAGACAGTAAAATGCTGTTAAAGTTCAGTTCCGGTAGTGCTAAATTCAGATTTTAAACTACAATGTGGTATTTATTGCCTGCATTCTACTTGTGTTGACTGCAACTAGTATTGTGGAGCAGTGATTTTTTTACCACCGTTGAAACACAAAGCCCTTGAAGGAGAATATTAGAATTAGTAACTTGGATGTGTTGCCATTGCCAAGCCAAACTCACCTGAAACGTATGGAGGTCTAACTCCTTTGGGAACATTCAGAGGTTTAGATGCTACTCTCAGAATTTTGTTTCTCATGAAAGATGAGAAGTCTTACATCACTATAAGCAACCATCTCTACTACCAATTTGTACGAGTATTAATACAAACTACATAAAGCCAATTCATTGGTTAGTGCAAAGCTGCACAGCTCCATTGACTTCATCATGTCACCCATTGGCTCCTTTTTTGCTCCTAAATGGACTGCAACTAGAATTTAGCACTTATATTCATCTGCAGACAGTAAAATGCTGTTAAAGTTCAGTTCCGGTAGTGCTAAATTCAGATTTTAAACTACAATGTGGTATTTATTGCCTGCATTCTACTTGTGTTGACTGCAACTAGTATTGTGGAGCAGTGATTTTTTTACCACCGTTGAAACACAAAGCCCTTGAAGGAGAATATTAGAATTAGTAACTTGGATGTGTTGCCATTGCCAAGCCAAACTCACCTGAAATGTATGGAGGCCTAACTCCTCTGGGAACGTTCAGAGGATTAGATGCTACTCTCAACCTAGCAAATGGGCTAAACACAAAAAAACCCCTGTCTGTTCTACACCAATCTGGAGTTCAGTGGCTACACAAAAGAAGCGCAACTTGTTCATCATCAACAACCCCCTGCAGCGCTACAGGCTGGGGGCAGAGTGGCTGGAGCTGCCTGGCAGAGAAGGACCTGGGAGTGTTGGTCGCCTGTGGGCTGAAGATGAGCCAGCAGTGTGCCCAGGTGGCCAAGAAGGCCAACAGCATCCTGGCCTGGATCAGGAACAGTGTGG